CCCATCCACCCTAAATTCATATGTTGAAGCCCTAACCCCTAATGTGGTAGTGTTTGGAGTTGAGGCCTTTGGGAGGTAATTAGGGTTAGACAGGTCATGAGGGCAGGGCCCTCATCATGGGATTAGTAGCTTTATAAAACAAGGATAAAAAATCTCTCTTTCTCTCTTTCTTCCCTCCCTTACACACACTGAGAAAAGACCAGGTGTGGACATAGAAGGTAGATGATTTCAAGCCAGGAAGAGCACCATCACCAAGAATTAAATAGGCTGGAACCTTAATTTTGGACATCCCAACCTCCAAAACTGTGAGAAAAATTTTCTGCTGTTGAAGCCACCCAGACTATGGTATTTTGTTATGGTAGCCCAAGCTAAGACAATTCCCTTTGCTTCTGTTTCCAAGGCCCCTCCCTAGTAAAGGCAGGGGATGAATAAATGTATTGCAGGCCTGATTTTTTAGCATATTTAACCTACCTTTAAAAACAAAACAAAACATTTTTTTAAGTAACACAGGAGATGTATCTGTTATACTCTTTTTTCTATGCAACCCCTCAAAGACATTTTTTTTCTCTTTTGAAAGGTAAAACTTTCACATCATTCCAAAATCAAATGAACATAAAAAGTCTCACCCCTACTCTTGATACTATCTGCCAACTTACCTGACAACCCTAACCACTTTTATTAATTTTTGGAGAAAATACATCACTGAATCTTGCCATTTTCACCTAAAAATACCATGGAGACCTTTTTATATACATATGAAAAGAATTTCTACAGTCTTTTCCATAGCAGCATAGTCCCTCATGGTATAGATATACTATATCTGCACCATAACAATACAAAGTTTAAAAAATGTTTTCTAATATGAACTTCTGGAAATGACAACTACATCTCTATAGTATGTTCCTCTCTCATTCTATATTTAATGTTGCCTGTGTTTTGAGGCTTTTATTTTGTTGCTTTTCAAAATTATGGTAACAATACTGAACATGAAATCTATCTTTTTAAATTTTTAACTGTATAATACAGTACTGTTAACTACAGGTACACTGTTGTATTGCAGATAACTAGAACTTACTCACCTCACATAATTGAAACTTTCTAATAGCATCCTCTTCTTATTTTCTTAATATAAGGATATTGGCATGAAAATAAACAATGCAAAGTTTTCTATAACCATAAATTCACAGGCCTGACTCTTCAAGGAAACTTGTAACTCAGCGTTCTCATGGTAATAATGCCAAGAAGACTCTATCATATTTTAACACAATAAGATAACTGTTTCAATGTTCCTACACTCAAATAGATATTGATTAGATTGCATTAGAGCAAAAGAGCTTAGTCTAAATTTGCCATATTCCTTTATTCAACATTAAAAAATCCAAATTCCCTTTAAACTTGAATAATTGAAAATGTGGGTGCCTGGCTATTTGAATAGAGCAAAGTGGTAAACAGTGCAGGCTTCAGAAAGGCATATACTGTATAGGTTCTATACTGACTCAATTGTGATAAAATAGCTTTGTCACCTTAAGTAAATTTGTATATGCTTCGATCTCACCATAATTTGAGGATATAAAATTTAGGTAAGCTGGCTTTAGACGATCAACTGAAATATTGTACATAAATCACCTCACATAGCAGTTTCTCACTAAATGATAGCTTTCATCATCATCATCACTATAACCATCTCTTTTATTCTGTACTAGATTCTACACTAGATGTTGGGGAACAACAATATATATGATACCATCCTTGCTCTCAAAACTCATAGTGTAGTTGTAAAGGCATGCCAGTAAACAAAGAACTTTAATATATAACAAAGTAATAAATCAATCTATTAAATGGTATGCTTTTGAGAAACAAAAAGTGTTCTGAAAATATGTTTTATAGATGTTTTATAGAAATGATATTGAGGAGGTAAAAAGTCTCCATTGGAAAGATACTATATATACCAAATTCAATTTTCACTTCTTAAAGAATATAGAGAAATATACAACACTAGAGCAATGCAGTAGTTATTTTAACTTGGTGGCAGTGATGAGATTTGGAAGGCTTTTGGATCTGACAGTACCTTTGAGTCTCAATAGTTTCTTCTCAGTTCTGTAGATAAGTGTCACCGTATAGGGAATATGGTGAATCCTCTGACCCTGATGTTTGCTTTTCTTGTTTACTGTTAACTGTTTTTTCCCTATAAAAGCAAAGTGTGAAAAGTGAGTGGAAAAAGAGTGATTCTTGTCCCTCTTTGATAAGGGTCCATAAATCTGCAGGTTTTTCACATTGTTGAAGGTGCTTAAATGTCAAGAATATTATGCTACTGATTGCCACTACTGCCTAGAAATTGTATAAATAAAACACTCAAAACAAATGAAAAAGACTTCTCCATGGCTGGCACATGACATTCTACAACATTCCCCAGCACTCTAAGTCATCCTTCAGATATTAAACTTCATAAATATGTAAATAACCATGTTTATTTTAAAGACAGACTTTCATAGCAGGCAGTGGTCTGCACGTCAACAATAATGAAAGGAATTGCAAGCCAGGACCTTTTTGAGAGGAGCTGGCTCTTAACTCTGAATTTTCTTTCACCAAATGAATCTCTGGATAACAGCTCGGTAATTCATGTCTAATAGTCTGCCACATATATTGTTAATTGATAGGCTTATGTAAGCAGAATTTTAAGTTAAAATTGGCCTTTTTTGGAAATAGTTTGTTACGATTCTTATTCCCACTTCACTTTAGTAACAGAACAGATATTTATTAATTAGGGATAAGAACTAGAACCGGAAAAAGGATCGATCAAACCTTGTGGCAAACAGACAACTTACAGATGCACACCAGGTTCGAAAACTCTGCTGCACACTCTCCACTTGAAATGATGCAAAAAGTCAGTGTCCAAGATACATTTTGGGATATCAAACCTAAGAAGTCGCTCCTGGCAAACCAATACACACAAAAATAAAATTCCTGTTTTTATTCCTTAGCATCTCACCACCAAATTCATTATTCACTTCTCCTTCAAGGGGGCTTCAATCTCTCTTCCCTTAACTGCATCAGAATTTATTTCCGGGCGTTGGACACATGCACTCCAACTCCCTACGCGTGGGTCTGTGAGCAGCCTTGAGCCAGCTGAGCAAGTTAGCAGAAGAATGTCGCCAGTGGTTTGCTCGCTCCACGAGGCAACTTCAATGGATCCATCACTCCTTACTCTGACAGTCTCACTCGGTTAGTGCTTCCGCCAGAGTTGGCTCACACAGAATTCAAAACAGGTTTATCCTTGAAATTCAGACTTGTGCCTGTAGCTACTGGTTTGCTTGCAGCCCCTGGGCGCTGCAACGCTCGCTGGGAATGCTCTGCATCTTTCTCAGAACTGTGAGTAGCTCTGCTAGAGCTGCTACCAACACAAGTTTAAACTTCGGTACTAAATTTTACTTTTGCGCTCCATGACTCCACGTTTTGCGCTCCTGTACTCTCTAACCAGCAAAATCAGCCACCTTCCAGCCTGAAGAGGAACATTCAAGAGTTCCCTGCTTCTGAGGAGATACTCCATGGAGACTGTGACGGTGGCGGAGCAGTGGGCCCAGCGCGGGGGCAAGGGACCTAGTGCCATCTCCACGCCGCGCAACTTTGCCTTTTCTGTCAGCAGGTCCCAAGCCATAGATAGTCTCGAACCTCTGAGTGGAGAAACCCTCAGCAAACTTGTCTGTCCATCACTTGGAAAGGCAGAGTAACGCTCTGCTGGCATAGAGACTGAGCAGAGCACAAAGCCAAGCCCGGGTTTAAAAGAAAGAAAAGAAAAAAGAAAAAAAAAAAAAGAACCCAAAGGGCAAAGGTTTACGTTCCGTGTGAGCCATTAATTCCTGCAGCCCGGTGAGGGCAAAACAAACTCCTGCTGGGAGGCTCCTTTCCTGGGAGTTGTGGATGATCCTGGGGCGCTTCTCTCTGGCTTGGGGTGCCCCAGCTGTGATGCCTCCTGGTCGTCTAGGGAAGAAAACGAAGTTGGGACAGCAGCTAGCCAAAGACCAGGACAGCTACTCCTGGTGCGAAACCTTGGAAATGGCTGCTGAAGGGGCTGGGTCTCGAGACTCTTAATCCCTCCTCTTTCTCCAGCTGAGCCGTTCACCTGCTACCGTCCAGTTTACAATATAAGCGTAGACCCTAAATTAGCCTCGTTCCAAAAGCTAGGCATCACAAATCTCCAGGGAGTTCCTTTCAGAAAACATCTTAGCAAGCTTCCAGAGAGCTCCTTGGGAGAAGTGTTAAATGAGAAAGTGGGCAGGAAAGGCGGGATGAGAGGAGATTGTGTCCAGGAAACGATGTGCAGGCTCCTCTATTCCAAGGACCTCGGGGAGCCCCTCAGCTCCCTAGCGAGCTGCTGCAGCCACTTCAATTTTCCAAGATTGAAGGGGCGGCTGTGGCCCTCAGAGGGTAGGAATGGGGACAGGATTAACCTTTCGTCCAGCGACCTCAAGCTGGGTGCTGTGGGAGTGTAACTGGTCTCAACTGGTAGAGATGCCAGACAGGGCAGGGAACGGAGAGGTGGCCGGACGGACTTGAAGGCTTGCAGGGAGGAACTGCCTGCTAGTATTCCGCTAACTAGTGAGGATTGATTAAATCTTCCCGTCATCTGCATCCCTGGAACCCCTGCCCCTCCTAACCTCTCCTGACTTCTCGCGCGCCGGTGGCCTGGGGCCGTGGGCGCAGGGCTGGGCGTGCGTGTGCTGCTGCGCGCGCGCGTGTGAGAGCGCGCGGGTGTGTGTGTCTGTGCGCAGCCCGAGCGCTGAGAGGGGCCACAGAGACCCAGCCGCCTGCTTCCCGCCTGGTGTCCCTCCTCCTTGCAGCCGCCTCCTCGCACGCAGGCTCCTCACCTGGCGCCCGCCGCCCGCCCAGCCCCAGTCGGCCGTCGCTGCCTTCCCTCAAAGTTTCCTCAGCGCAGGCGTCTCCGCGCTGCGGCTGCCCAGGGAGACCGGGCTCTGAAGCTGTGCCTTGGAGTGGCTCTTCTCACAGCACCTCTCCGCCCGCCTCGTCCCCACCTAATCCGACCGGAGAGTAGAAGATTTCCCAAATTAAGTGGAGGAGAGGGGGAGGCGGATTATCGAGAGAAGGCGAGAGGAGCGGTGGCAACTGGGAATATCCTGCCCAACGCCGGAGAATTGACTGAGGCGTCTGTGGGGTTTCAGAAGAAAACTGAATAGGCAGCCAAGTTGGCCGAGGAGGGCCCGGGAGGCTTCCGGGCGCCAGCAAGGTTGCCCCCATCTCCGTTTCCACAGGCGTGAAGGTTTGGAGGCGCCTCCACTTGTGAGGGCTTTTTAAACCGCCACCCCCTCCCGGTCTCATTGAAAGGAAAAGCTGGCAGAGCTGAGGCGGGGTAAGTCAAGGAAAAGCCCCTGGACTTGTGTGCGTCTCACCCTTGGCTTTGGATTTTAAGGACATGAAGGAGGACTAACAGCGCCTGAAGGTAAGAGGCAGCGAAACCGCTGCTTGACTTGCCGGAGAGAATAACTTAAAATAGATGTTGGGGATGGGGTGCGGGGTCTAGCCAAGTTACCAGGATCCCCGGGCGTCGCCACGCGATTGCACAACCCGCGCGAAAGGCGCCGGGCCGGCAAGTCCGGGAGTAGCCAGTGCTGCTGGCGCCCAGTTGGGAGGCAGCAAGCCGAAGGGAGTGTCCTGTCCTTACACTTTTGGAAATCCACAGAAAATAGGTTTCAGGCTGGGTCGTCTGTCGAGAATGATTTACAGCGTGGATTTGGTTTTTCGTTTTTTTTTTTTTTTTTTTTCGAGAGATTTTTTTTTTTTTTTTTTCATTAGCACCGCAGACCCACCCCCTCGTTGCCATAGAAAGCTGTGGGCACCGGTGAACGCAGCCGGGAGGCTGTGGCAGGTGAGCCTGTCGCAGGTGGGCAGGTGGGGGCGGCTGCAGCATTCGGCCCGCGGATTGGGGGCGCGCGGAGCCCACGCCGCCGCCTGGCCGGCTCCCTGCGACCGGCGTCGGAGCCCGGGCGTCGCGGGTCGGCTGCGGTTCCCTTCGCCTCCGCTAGAGGCTCCCAGCGGGCGCGGCGGAGCGGTGGGTGTGGGGGCACCGCGAGGCGGAGGGGCGAGCGCGGGGAGCGAGCGTGCCCGCGGGGCGGCGGAGCCGGCGCGGCAGGGGGAGGCGAGCCTGGCTGGTGCAGGGGACGTGAGCGGGAGTCCCGGCGCGCGTCCTGCCTCCGTGCAGCGCCGCGGGGACGCGGGTCCGAGTCCCGGCTGAGCTCTGGAAAGCTGTGCCTTGAGCCAGAGCCACTTCGGGGATGCGATCCTGGCCCGCGCCCTGAGGGCACCCCTGAGAGGTAATGCCCTCTTTCTGCTCCCTCCTGTCGCCACTGGTTCTCTGTAAATTCTTCGTCAAACACGCGAGGTGGGAGGGAGTCGAGGGTGCGAGCGAGTCTGTAGGGTCTATATCTAAAGGTGCCTTTCAGTCTTGTTCCTCGGTGTTCCGGGGGAATGTGTATTCGAACTCATCCCTAATTTCGCCCACCTCCCCTGAATATTTGCCTGCTTTAAGGGAAGTTTTCTGCGGAGAGCGCCGGGTAGCTGGTCTGGGCCGGGCTGCTCCTAGGTGAGCGAGGGGACCCGCCGTGCCCCGCTTGAGCCGCAGTGGACTGGAGTGCGAGACTCGAGGGATGGGGTGTGGTGGAGGAAGAGAGTACCACACCCTCTTCTTTTCCCCTCCTTTCCTCTTCACCTGATGGTGAAGTCTCCCCGTTCAGCATTTTAGTGATTTCCTTTCCCGAGGGATTGGCTCTGGGAACAGAGCTAAAGCTGCTGAAAAGACTTGGAGAGAGGAGAGAGAGAGAGAGAGAGAGACAGACAGAGAGAGAGAGAGAGAGAGAGAGAGAGATAAGGATGAGAAGGAAGTCATGGCTGGAACATCAGGGGAGGAAGGCGGGTGAAGTTAAGCTTGTGTGTTTGAGGTTGGGGGGGTGAGTGCTGGGAAATGGCCTTGGAGTTCAGATTATTTGATGAAGTAAGATTCGTTTCACATTTCACACTGTCTTTGACATAATCCAGTTTGCTCAAGCCACTAACAAATATTATCTCTGCTAGATACTGCCTTGAACATAGTGGGCACTGAATATGTTTGATGGTTGTGTCTAACCAAAAAAAAAAAAAAAAAGAAAGAAAAAAAAAAGAGTGCTTATTGTGTTTGCTTGCTGTGATTACCCGTGTCTGTCACACAAGCAGGAATGTATGTGTTTTTTAGTGTGCTGTGTTGTGTTTGTGCATACCGTATGTGGTCATTTTACAGTCAGTAATGCAATTTCAGGGTCTTCTAAAAAGGTGGCTCTTAACAAACACGACTTGTGATATTAAACCTGCAGAATAATACTAAAGGAAGACAAAAAATGACAATGGGGCATGGAATATTCTAGGAATACTGAATAAAAGGCAAGATCCAGAATTTTTGAAATATTGGGCCACATGCTAAAAGAGTGAAAAATATTTTTCAGAAATGGGAAGCAGTGGTTAACGTTTTAAAAGAAGGAGCTGTTCTAAAGTGTGCTATCATCATCACCCAGTAGTGTGCATTACTTGCAATACAGTTGGAGTGTGAGGAAAAAAAATTAAGCACTTCCTGTTGAAAATCAGTAAAATGTTTTGTGAGATACTATCAAGTATTTCACCTTAATTTATAAGAAATGGCTTGCCTATTGATGATGGCTGAAGTAGTTTGATTATTATTTATGTGTAGGGCATCTATTATTTCTGATTCAGGTAAATATATGTTAATATTTTATATAATAAGTTAACAGAAATGGAAGCAGGACAATTTATTTTTTTTTAATTCCAGAATAATATGTAGCGTAGTATCAGGGAAGATTTATATAAAGTTTGTCATTCATGTATTGCATTGAATATAGCTCTGTGTGGAAGGCAAGAATATCTATCTTGTTGAAATCCCAAAAAGAATAGTTTATGTTCTTAAGATACACTGTTTAGAAATTTTTATGATGTGAAAAAATGATAGTTACTCATCTAAGTATAGTTACCTGCATATCTAGACACAAATCACTTATTTGTTGAATTGAATTAACCAAGACAAATACATGTTTAGGGCTCAATCGTCATTTTGAGACACTTGCGAAACCAAACAAGATCTACTAGTATTATAAAGAATCTATCTATATGATACATAAGGGACAATGTTTCTTGGCATTTAATTGAATCAAACTGCTGAGGCTGGTTTGTAATATCAAATTCAGTTTTAGGACTCGTTCTCTAAAGATTTTTTCCTCTCTAATAAATATATTTTTAAAAGAGAACAACATTTAAATGTTCCAGGGATACCATGGACCTGAAAACCATTTGAGTCCTCTGAAACTTCATATCAAGAATAAGAAGTGATAGGAAGTTGTCACAAATTAATTGGCTTGATGCTTCAATTAAAAACTGATTATTATCTGGCTCTGGTAGTCATTATGGTTGGTTTCATTTGGTCTCTAGATATTCTGTGAAAGGACTCTAGGTGGAAATGTTTTCCTGTAGTACAAGGAGAGAAGGTCACTATATGCAAACAGGCTTGTCAGTTACTGATTCTCCAATTTGGTTGTGTTTTATCCTTAAGGCAGCCTGTTAGAATTTTAAAAAATCAGTTTTCTGAATTTATGCATATGTTTCTCTCTTTATCATAGTCCTCAACCAGCTTATGGGTACTTCATTTATAATTGGATGAAAGATGCCACCAAGCCTCTTACCTTTATGGTTTAGGGGCTACTTTGATATTAAGAACTCTAAGAAGTATTTAAACATAAAAGACCATATTTCCTGAAAGAAAACAAATTAAGCTTTAAAGAGATGTTGGATAAAGAAATGAAAGAATAGGAGAGGCAGGTTAAATCCCAGCTATCAGTGTTTCCCATCTAATTGCATATACCTCTATGATTTTTTTTGTTATGCTTCTAACATTTTCTCCATCCCTCCTTTCTTCCCTCCCTCCTTCTTTCTTTCCTTCCCTTCTTTCTTCATTCCTTTCTTTTCTTCCTACTCTCTTTTTTGATTAAAATATTTCCTTCATAATGAAATATATGCTAATTTTATAATTATCATTTCATAATTTATTTTTAAATAGGAAGTAGTTTTAAAAGATTAAAATGGTTGTCTTTATTTTTGAATTTTATACAAAAAAAAAAAAAAAGAAACTCCACTAGAAGATGAGCTTGATGTTTTAGGGAGTCCCAGTCATCAACTTATCCTCATCTCTTACACTCTGAGTGTCTCTTGGTTCTGGCTGCAACTCCACTGGCTTTTGTTTCTGGGAAGTATGGAAACATGGGTAGTTAGTCACGGGAGATAGACAGACTGCCTAGGAAATGGTTCATTTGTGCTTTGAGTGACTTATTTTCATGCAGTTAATAGTCTTTCCATGTGTAAATTGGCTGAGGTAATCAAATATGAAATATTTATATTAACCAAATAATTGAATCACAATTGCCAGTGTATTACTTGTTCAGAAATTAGTAACCCATTTTAGAAAAACTTACCTCCATCTAAACCTTAATAAAAGTTACTTTTTAAAAAATTATGTCACTCAACAAATACAGTTATTAAATGGTTCTTAAATGTCCTGAGAGAGAAAATCTTGGTTCCAAAAATCTCCCAAGAGAGACTAACTCAGTGCCACTGGGAGGCAGCATGAATAAGTAGAAAAAGCATTGGATCTGACTTCAGAAGATTTGAATTCTACTTAGTTTTCTTATTACTAACAGTGTCACTTTTGAAAAGTTCTCTAATTTTTCTAAGGCTGAATATTGATTTTTGTACAGTGCAATTATTTAATATCTACCCATTCTATTTAAAATTTGATCATACTTAGGTTTAAACTTTAGAAAAAGAAAAAAGCAAAACTTTCAAGTACCAGGTAAATGCCAGGCATTATAACACTTGATAGAAGAATAAATGAAATATATCCAAAGAAAACTTGTAAAACTTATAATGAAGCATGGATTTCGATATGCCTTTGATAAGAAGAGTTCTTTTCCAGACAAGCTATTAACAAGTGACATCAAAATGAAATTTAAATTAATATGTGTGTATGGGAGAAGATTTTTCTCTAAGTTATTAATATACCACAAATTTTATGTTACATGGCAATCTTGTAATGCTTACCATGTGGGACATAAAAGTCCATCTTGGCATTAGGGCTGTTCTTAAAGAGTTGTGATGACAAAGAAGAGGCAAAAGAACAGGAGAGTAAAATATTTTTTAAAAATAGTTTCAATGGAGTCCTTGTTTTGTATTTTTTTAGTGATTTTACATATTCCTTCTTCATGTGTATCCTTAAAATAAAGCATGTAGCAGCTGTCATTGCTTTCATTATTATCAAGTCAGTTACCTAATTTCTTTGAATCCTTTAAAAATGTTTAGCTTGTGAAATGTTGGTTCAATGGTTTAATCTAAGAAATTGAACATATACCTAAT